AATTGTTAGAATAATAGACCAACGCTAGAGGGGGGGTGAATAGCGTTTGATCGTAGAAATCGCAGGAATTAAAAAATTAAAAGAGAAGTAAAGAGAAGAGTAAGAGGCACACCGAATTTTACCCTGGTTCACCACAACTTGTGGCTAATCCAGCCTCCCGAGAGACTCTCTCGAGCTACACTACTATCTCGTTAAGCTTGCGGGTGCTTAACAAACCGTTACAACTTGAGAGTTCGAGTTACACGAACCTCAACGAGTCCTTCAAAGGAAACAGCCCTTCCTTTGAATCTACCGAGAGAAATACTTTCTCTCAAAGTGTCTAAGAACACGAATACACTCAAGAACGAGGCTCTCTTATAGAGTAGATTATGAGTAAACTAAGTACGCTCAAGAACAACTCAACCTTCACACAAAATGGCTCTCGAAAGCTATGGAAAATGATGATATTTGAATGCAATGAAAGTATGAATGTTGTGAAGTGAATTGGTGAGAAAAGCAGACCCAAACACCCCTTTTTATAGTGCAAAAATAGGCTCCAACGGACCAATGCATTAAAGAGGTGATTGGCTTGATTTATGGGATTGAAAAGATTTGGGATCTGCAGGATATTGGCTTCCCAGCGATGTATGGACCTTACCCATCGCTGGTAGGCCAATTTTCCTTCAGTTTTGAAGCTAACGGTCACCTACCCATCGATGGGTACATGCTTCCCATCGCTGGGTGTGAGGTTGACTTCCAAACATGGAAAGAATCAACCTTAAATGACTTACAACGGTCATGCCTTCCCATCAATGGTTAAGCCTTCCCATCGATGGGTAAAGCTTCCCATCGCTGGGTAAGGGCATTCTGCCATGTGATAATGTTGAACGAAGGCTTTAACAGCGAAGGGTAGAACTCCCCATCACTGTTTGGCATGGTTCTGGAAATTGGTATGGCTTAGGGACCGCTTACCCATCGATCGGAAGATCTTCCCATCGCTGGGTGGGTGGTTTGCCAAAACCCCATGGTCTTTGCCTTAACCACGGCCTAGCAAACCAATGCAAAAACCGACCGAAAAATCCAAAGTTCTCCAAAATAAAAACCAAGTGTTTGAAACACTTATTTGATGTATTTGGCTAAGAAATCAAGTGAGTTACTTTAAGAAAACCACATCATTTGAGTAAAAACCACAGCTAGCCAAGATTACGCTGTTTTGCGTGGTTTTTGTCAAACGACTAAAAGCGAAAGATGGTTTTCAAAGTGTTTTTGTTGGAGAACCGTTTAAACAAGCCAAAGAGTGAAAGTAGATTATAAAATGCTGAAAACCACTTGGTTGGTTCGGATGCCAAAAACCAAAGCCGATAACGGAAAGCCGAACGCTGGTTTCTGAAAGCCGAACACTGGATGGCTTGGTTTTTGGTTTGGGCGAACACCAAGTGTTTTTAATGACTTAAACAAGTTTGAAAAACATTTTTATGATGTAAGAAATGCAATGAAAGATTTTAGCCTAAGGAGTCAAGGTGTAAAGATTGGGTCGGTCTTGATCACAGTAAAGACCAACTCAATACTATGACTAAGGTCTTCGTTCTTGGTCTTCATTTAGCTCTTGCTCTTACCTTCGTTCTTCGCCTTGTATATTCAATGTTCGACTTGATCACGGCGGTTTGACATTATCAAAACCTGTTACAAAAACGAACACGGCTTTAGTACGAAAACGTGACAAGCCCGTGTTTCAACAATGATGCATTTAATACATTATGTAGTACCTTACGATAAGTCGGTGTGCATGTAACACCCTAATCTGTCCAGGTCTGCAGCCCCTTTCAGATTAAAGTATTAACTTGGTAATCGTAAAAATTTAAAACATTTCAAACACTTTTATTTATCACAATAATATTTTTCATAATATAAACAGTACGGAGTTTTCAATATTGCGGAAGCTTAACAATCATAATCACAAACATAATTTATTTATGTTCTTTAATTCAAAACCATCACATCCATTCTGACAATCTCGCCTCCGTCTGCCTCCAGGATCACGTCACTTCATTAACCTGCGTATAGCAAATAAAACATACTACACGCTCAGCGTTGAAGCTGAGTAAGCATATCTAATGCATCGAACATCCATATAAACTGAATCTAAATTCATAATCAAATCATTTGATGTCATGCACATAATGTTCAGTTCAGATAATCAATAATTATTAAAAATTATTCATCATGCATTATTCAACATTTATATTTACATTCAATGTTCATCAGTCATTCATAATAATTGCAATATTCAATTCAATATTCATCATTCAATATTTACTCATATTCAATATTCAATATTCAACATTCAACAATATCCTTAAACTATTCTTAGTCTAAGGCCAATCACTTTAATATTTGTCAACCCTTAAACGAATTCT